AAATGAAGCAGGCAAAGGCTAACAGAGTTTTGCCAAGAGAACGCATTGGTCAGAGCCAACACACTCTTGCAACAACACCAGAGACGACTCTACACATGGATATCACCAGAAGGTCAATACCGAAATCAAATTGATTATATTATTTGCAGCCAAAGATGAAGAAGCTCTATATAGTCAGCAAAAACAAGACCAGGAGCTGATTGTGGCTCAGATCATGAATTCCTTATTGCCAAATTTAGACTTAAATTGAACAAAGTAGGGAAAACCACTAGACCATTCAGGTATGACCTAAATTGAATACCTTATGACTATACAGTGGAAGTGACAAATAGATTCCAGGGATTAGATCTGATAGAGTGCCTGAAGAACTATGGATGGCGGTTCGTGACACTATGCAGGAGGCAGTGATCAAGACCATTCCCAAGAGGAAGAAATGCAAAAAGGCAAAATGGTTGTCTGAGGAAGCCGTACAGATAGCTGAGCAAAGAAGAGAAGCGAAAGGCAATCGGGAAAAGGAAAGATATACCCATCTGAATGGAGAGTTCCAAAGAATAGCAAGGAGACATAAGAAAGCCTAAGTGATCTGTGCAAAGAATTGGAGGAAAACAATAGAATGGGAAAGACTAGAGGTCTCTTCAAGACAATTAAAGATACCAAGGGAACATTTCATGCTAAGATGGGCTCAATAAAGGATAGAAAAGGTATGGACCTAATAGAAGCAGAAGATATTAAGAAGAGGTGTCAAGAATACACAGAGGAACTATACAAAAAAAGATCTTCATGACCCAGATAACCTTGATGGTGTGATCACTCTCCAAGAGCCAGACATGCTGGAATGTGAAATCAAGTAGGTCTTAGGAAGCATCACTACGAACAAAGCTAGAGGAGGAGATGGAATTCCCATTGAGCTATTTCAAATTCTCAGAGATGATGCTCTGAAAGTGCCGCACTCAATATGCCAGCAAAGTTGGAAAGCTCAGCAGTGGCTGCAGGACTGGAAAAGGTCAATTTTCATGCCAATCCCAAAGAAAAACAACGCCAAAGAATGTTCAAACTACTGCACAACTACACTCATCTCACACGCTAGCAAAGTAATGCTCAGAATTCTCCAAGCTAGACATCAAAAAACTACATGAACTGTGAACTTCCAGATGTTCAAGCTGGATTTAGAAAAGGCAGAGGAGCCAGACATCAAATTGCCAACATCTGCTGGATCATNTAGAAAGCTGAGCACTAAAGAATTGATACTTTTTTTTTTAATTGATAATTTTGAACTGTGATGTTGAAGAAGACTTGAGAGTCCCTTGGACTGCAAGGATCAAAGCAGTCAATCTTAAAGGAAATCAGTTCTGAATATTCATTGGAAGGACTGATGCTGAAGCTGAAGCTCCAGTACTTTAGCCTCCTGGTGTGAAGAACTGACTCATTGGAAAAGACCCTGATGCTGGGAAAGATTGAAGGCAGGAGAAGGAGAGAACAGCAGATGAGATGGTTGGTTGGCATCACCACCAACTCAGTGGACACGAGTTTGAGCAAGCTTCGGAAGTTGGTGATGGACAGGGAAGCCTGGTGTGCTGCAGTGCATGGGGCCGCAGAGTTGGGCGTTACTGAGGGCCTGGACTGGACTGATTATGCATGTGTGTTCAGTCATGTCAGTCTCTTTTTGATCCCTTGGACTGTAACCGGCCAGTCTCTGTCCATGGGATTCTCCAGGCAGGAATACTGGAGTGGGTTGTCATGTCCTCCTCCAGGGGATCTTCCCAACCCAAGGATGGAACCCTCGTCTTCTTGCATCTCCGGCATTGGCAGGTGGATTCTTTTACCACTATGCCACCTGGGAAACCCACTGCTCATATGCTGTACTTGGAATGCATACCTTTAATTAGCACAATTCAGAAGCCTTTAAGTTATCTTTGACCCTTTGTCTCAAACCTCACAGCCATCAACCACCTCTCTGAATATATATGTACATATTTATCAGAATCAGACCTTACTGTGATTTTTATTTTTATATCCCTGATAGCTAATCATGTTGAATGTCTTTTTAGGTGCTTATTGGCCATTTGGTATATCTTCATTGGAAAAACATCTATTCAGATCCTTTGATCCTTTTAAAATTGAGTTTTCTTTTTAGTGTCTAGTTGTAACAATTCCTTGTGTATTCTGAATACTAGATTCTTACCAGATACATGATTTACAAATATTTTCTGTTATTCTTTGACTTATCTTTCTTTTTCAGGATAGCATTCTTTGAAACATAACATTTCAAATTTTGGTGAAATCAGTTTATTTGCTTATGCTCTTGGTGTCATGTCTAAGAAGCCATTGCTTAAGGCATAATTAAGATCTATACCTATATTTCCTTCTAAGTGTTTTATATTTTGAGGTCTTGAATTTGACTCCACCTTGAGTTAACTTCTGTGTATGATCTGAGATAGGGGTTTTGTTTCCTTCTTTTGTATGTGGATATCCAGTTGTCCTAGCACCATTTCTTTAAGACATTTTCGCCCCCATTAAGCTGTCTTGGCACCCTTGTTGGAATCAATTGACTGTAAATGTGAAGATGTATTTCTGGACCCTCAGTTCTAGCTCTGTTCCGTTCATTATGATAACTTCCTACGTTGCTATGTGAAGTCTTTCCTGAGTCAGATGGTTTTCTTTGAGCTGTATTCATCTTGCCCAGGCTGCATACTTATTAACTAGGATCCTTAGAGTAATAGGGATTTTCTGGAATGCTCTTTACTTGGGAAATGCTTTCTAGAAAAACACATTTTAAAACTTACCAGTTCTCTGCTTAATTGCTATTTTCTTTGCCTTTGTGGAGTTGTAAAGGTCAAAATCTCTAAATCATGACTTTCTTTGTCTGTTTTCTTGACTCTGCTTGTAGCTTTCTGTTCTGCATTCATGTTTTCCTCCTAGGGAGCTCTTTTGAGCCCCCAGGGAATTTGAGAGTAAGATCACGTGAGTTACATGCATTTGAGCATAATCTGGACTTTCAGCACTGCGTGCACTTTTACTATAATAAAGCCCAGCTTTGATCAAGTATATCCATAGTTGACTAGCATTCTGGCATGTGGCCTGAAGCTAATAGGGCCAGCTGGCAGTCTTCTTGTGACTTGAATACCATGCTGGACCACACAGGTACCTTTTCATCCCAGACTATTAATCTTAGAAGTTCACTTTCTAATCTTAGAAGTTGGAAACTCCTTTGGTGGAGCAGGAAAGTGGAAAATAAATTTCTTGTTGAGGCCGTGTAAAGATTGCCTTGAGTAGCTATAAAGTACAGGTAATTTAGTTTGTCAGCTTTTCCCAGTCAGTCAACCAGGTGGTCGTGAAACTCTAACCAGGCATGTATCCTCTCAAATCCTTAAACACAGGTTTAACCTAATCGTTATTCAAGTACCTGTGTTATGTAAATACTAATCCATATACTCACTCTCAAAATAACACTTTCCTGTTAGTTTAACAGTTATTACGCTCTAGTTCCTTCAAGATACATAGCAGTTGGATAATAAATACATAATTTTTCTTCAGAATTGTAAAATAGAATACTCGGTTATTTTGTGCTTTCTGCTGATTTGACAGATATCTGTACCCCTTCATTGTGCTAGGAAGCATGTGAAGCATTACTTCTGTCAGTGTTTTGGGTGCCCTCATCATTCATATTGTATGTGAAATCTCACCTTTTTGATTGGCTTACGACCGTCTTCTAGGTTTTCCTCCTGTGGGTTAGTCTTATGATTGGACTTAGCCAAACATGGTAGCAGTCAAACTTTTATTTTTCCATTTATTCAATAAATGTTGGTAGAAAGCCTCCTCTTGAAACGCTGTATGCTCTGGTAGTTGCTGATGATACAAAGATAGAGACCAACAGCCTCAGTCTCTACACATAAGATGATGTTGTTTCTAACGCTAGAATTGCAACAGACCATTCTTACATAAGACTGTGAGAATGTATATAGTCGTCCATTCATTAAACCAGAGAACCTGTAAGTGCCTACTGCGTGCTGTCACAGTTGGACTTGCAAAGATCAGGAACAGCTTTTGAGAGGATGTGATGGTTGAGCTGAGCTCTGGAGACGGTCAGCCAGGTGAAGGGGAAGTGGGAAAGCCTTTCTGGCCAAGAGAGCACCGAGGCACAGAAAGGAGACTCCTGTGGCAAGAAGGCAAGACAGGGACAGCACCAGACCTTGAGACGTTGTTCCTTGAGGTGGGACCTTGTGGGCCATGTTGAGAATTTTGCCCTCTGTCTTAAGAGCAGAAGGAAACCCCTGAAATGTTTGAACCAGAAGCCTCTTACACACAGCATGTGACTTAGTTCTTAATTGGACAAGGTTAGCTCTTACACAGATTTGATTTTCAGATAGAAAATGTTAAAACTTTTATGCTTCATCTTTTGCAGAGTGTGCTTTAGAATTACCTGCAGGACTTGCTAAAACAAATTTTGGGGCCCCACTCCCAGAGATGTTGTCGCTATGGATGGTGTTCAAGAATGTGAATTCCTAGTAACACCCCAGAAGATGCTGCTGCTGCTGGTCCTACCCATGGACCAGATTTTGAATAGCAATTGTTAGAGCCATGGAACTAACTCACCTCTCTTTTCTTACTGTTTTCCACATGTGTAACCAGCAAAAGATCATTTTTAGTCATGTAATAACAAGAAACATTTTTTGTTTCAGGAGCTGTACAATATAGAAGCTACTTCCGGGCTATAAATTATACTTTTTCTGTGTACCATCCATGTGTATGATATGTGATTCTGTGAGGTGATGTGGCAGTATTTAGTACTGGGTAGACATAGCCCCAGAAATCAGGATACTTAAAATCAGAAATAAATCATGATTAGCAAAAACTTTTTAAAAAGTTAAAGTACAACCTTGACAGCTGTTAAGATTTTGAAGTTTAAAACAATATGATTTGGGTTTGGAAAAACAGTTGGTGTTTCTGCAAGACTAAACCTACTTTTATTGAATCAGGGTTTTTTTTGCTTATTTTTCTAGATCTAATTACTTGTTTAGACACTGCATCCAGTTTTTTGGAACCTGAGTTCAGGTATGACTATATTTGTGACTTTTTTTTCTTAAATGTCACTGTTCATCTACTTCATCCTCATCTTATGCACTTGATTATATAATGCACTTTGTATGACTCATAACCGTTGTTCTAAAACATCAATAAATCAGAGCTTATTTAAAGCCACTCACTTGTCATGTTTAAATTTTGCTTTACTCGTAGCATGTGAATCTTCTCCACAGTGGAAATATAATTTGGATATAGTTTAAAAGTAGAACTAGTCAATCTTCAAAATCTAGTAAAAAACTCCTTGGAAAGATAGAAGAGCTGTTTATTTTTGCTCAGAAAGAGTTAGGTAGACAGTTCAGGCTATTAGAGGAGAATTCTGTGTTCTTAGCCCGGTGGCATTTTTACTATCATTTCCCTGCATTACACCCTTGACTCTTGCCTGGACTAGGATGAACTCATAATTGGTTTCCCATTTCTAACCTTTGCTAGCTTTTTTCTGCCATTCACATTCTGCCAGGTTATTTTCTAAAATCTGTGTTCTATCACTCCTCTGCTTTGAAATATTGTTTCAAAACTTACTATGACAAAACACCATCCCTATTCCTTAGCCTGGTTTTCAGGGTCCTTCACAAATAGTCTGTAGGCCATTTTTCTAGTCTTACATTGAAACGTCTCTGGATTATTTATACTGCTCTGAGCTCTCAGAACTTTTGTCTGGAATCACTTTACTCTTCGCTGCTTAGTAAATTCATTCTCGCCTTCAAAGACCCATCTCACTTACTTCACCCAGCTTGCTACTACTCCCCAAAGAAACTTCATTCTATCTTCAAGAAGAGTCTCTCTGTGTGAGCTGGGGGCGCTCTTCAGCCCTCCAGGGGGGTCCTGGTCAGCAGAGGTAATCCTGGTGTCAGTGTGTGTCGTGCAGCCTCCGTGCACCAGCTCCATCTTCACCTCCCAAGTGCACCCTGCCATCCTCTCTTGCCTGGACTACCTGACAGTGTCTTCTCCTCCACTCATGGTCCTCGCACTCTCTTTTCTTTCCAGGAGCCAGAAGAACTTTAAAAAATACATAAATAAATAAAGCACAATCAGGTTATGTGTGGACACCATTAAAATCCTTTAATGGCTTCCTCTTTTAGAAATACACCCCCAAGTCTCCTCCCCACAGACCCCCCAGCTTCTGTGTGATCTGACCCCTGGCTCCTGTGCCAGGCTTCTTTCTCACCGCGCTCGGCCTGCATGGTCTGTCCTTGATCCAGACCCACACGAGCCACCCTGCCCCAGGGACAGGCTGTTTCCTCTGGTTGGAGCGCGTGTCCCTGCTGTCTCCAGTGATGGTCCCCGGTTCCCTGCTGAGGCTTCGCTTTCTCAGAGCCCCGTCCCCTGGCCGAGGCAGTTGCCAGAGCCCCACATATGAACACAGAAACTGGAGCCCAGCTGCCTTGGCACGGCTGTGAGCTGGAAACACAGCTCTCCGGTATCTTCATCTGTAAAATGAGGATAATGATGGTACCTAGCATGGAGGGTTTTTATGTGGATGACCTGAGTGTAACTCAGAATGCTGCTTGGCACATAGGGGGTTTGTCAAACGTTCATAATACTTCTGTGAAGTTAGAGTCCTTCTGATTATTTCACAGAGTACCTTTTCTTTACAGCAGAAACATAATCCCATTCTTTGGTTTCATGAAGTATTGGCTTAATACTTAATATGTCTCCTACCATGGGCATATAAACCCAGAGAGGACTGCCACCATTTGTCTGGTTGACCCTCATGAACCCCACCCCTTGCACAGCCCAGCACTTGACAAACAGTGTTAGAGACATACATACATGTAAATATGTGGAGTGTGTAGATGGGTGAGTTGAGTAAGTGAATGAATGCCAAACATTTTTTTAAAATCACCTTAAATTTGATCAATAGAGGATGGGTGAAACAAATTATAGTTCATCCACAAAATCAAGTATTATGTAGCTACTAAGTATTTTGAATTGCTTTTACAGCAGAAATATGTCTGCCATTCATCACGAAATAAAATAATCAAATCACCATGTAGAATAGGAGGTGATTTTTGTATATATGTAGGTGAAGACATGCGTAGATGGATGGAAGAAAGTCTTAAGGACCTTTTAGAAGTGGTGGTTCTCTCAGGGTGGTGAGATTGTGGTATTTACATTGAACTAAAAAAGGGTAAGTTATTTTTTGGTTTTTTCCCCAGAAAGTAGAGCAGTGTATACCGTTCAACTTGTTTTTATTTCACAGCAAGTATTGCCCAGCCGGTTGTCTGCTCCCGTTTGCTGAGGTGTCAGGAGCCATCCCTCATGGATACAGAGACGTAAGTTGGCTGTAGACTTAAGTTAAAGTGATGCCAGAACTTCTCATAGACAGGTGTGTAACCTATTGTTTATCTTCATTGTGACTTTTATTTTCTGACAATTACTTCTTTTTAGTAATACGTAATGTTTTGTTCTTTTTCTTCTGCTACAAATCAATTCTATGTTGTACTACCCCATCTTTATTAAGAAAACTGCCCAGATCAAATAATTTCTAGAGGAAGTGTAAGTGTCTTGTTTATGAATTATCACAAGAAAATGTGGACCTCATCTTGTCTCTTCCCTTCCTGAAGTCCTCCCCGTTGTGCATGGCCGGTGTGCATGCAGGCGTCGTGTCGAACACTTTGGGCGGCCAGATCAGCGTCGTCATCAGTAAGGGCATCCCGTACTATGAAAGCTCCCTGGCTAACAACGTAACGTCCGTGGTGTAAGTACATGCGCTGTTTATAATACACGTGCCGCGTGGGGTGGGGCTCCAGCGTGCAGTATCGCTGGTGATGGTGTTCATGAGATACCGCTTGTGCGATGAGGGCTCACGAGTGTGTCCAATGTCTGCGTGCGCTGAGGAGCGCAGCCAGGGTCGTGCCCTCTCGGCTTCTTCTCCGGCTGACAGGGCGGTAGTCATTTGTGGGGAGTAATTTGCTGCTTCTTTCTGAGTGTAGAAAGAGCCCGGAATGAGCCTGGAAGTTTATGGCCAAATCTTTACTTCATTTTAAAGATGAGAAGGCATAACTACCCACCCTGTTCCAGATGCCTGTGTGGCCCAAGATGGATTAAGATAATTGAAATACGCTGAATAGAAGTCAAATTTTGACATAAATCAGAGATAGTACTATTATGAATCCCTGCCATCCCGAGAGAATATTGTAGGAATGTGTTTTCATTGTATTTATGATCTACTGTTTCACAAAATCTAAACGAGGTATCCACAGTGGGAGGAGTTGAAACCCCGAGGAGAAACATAGTGTGGGTGATCTGTCTGTAAACCTTACATCTCGGACATGCCCGGTCCTGCAGTATAATTGAAACCAGCTTCTCTTTAGGTCCTGGGCCAGTTTCCTTCAGAAGCCCAGAGCTCCACACTCAAGACAGTGGAGAGTTTTACTGTAGAAAGCCAGTATCTCTGTCGCTTACTCTTTTTCATTTTATTTAGAACTTTTTAACCATGTAAAAACCATTCTAAGCTTTCTGATCACACAAAGCAGGTGACACCTGGACTGTCATTGGTCCATCCTTGCTATAGATAGAGTCAGCTACCTTTTCCCCTCTGGTTTCTTCTGGATGATTTTATGCAAGTTGTTTCATTACTTTCTTCTGTTCTACTTTTAGAAAGAATTTTTTTTTCATGAGTTCTTTCTTTTTTTTTCTTTTTCATAAAGGGCAAGTCGCATCCACTTGTAATGGTTTGAATGTTGTGCTGAAGGCAGACGTATACACTGCTGATTTAGATGGTTTTATCCCTCCAAGTTCCTCAGGGCCCCTTGACCTGCCATGTGGTGAACTAATCACTTGTCCCACCCATGCGCTCTCCCCAGGCACCTATCCTGCCCGTTACAAAACCCAAATACAATGCTACCTTGTATCTCTAAAACACTGATTTCCTATAACAAATGCAGTCTCTTCTTAGTAGTCAGCTTTTTTTCTGTTTGCCCCAGAAAGCTTGAGCCTCTTTCTCCAAGAAGATCACCTTTTGTTTTATAGTCCCCAAAAGCAATTGCTATAGAAACATTTTAGAAATATGTTAATCTCATGAGAAAGAAATTGATACGTACTTATTAAAGGTTGCATGGATACACTTGCATAATCATGTATAAAACTAGGCACTAGATACTTGAAGACAAAATTATTTATGCTGATTTCAGAAGTTGTTCTCCTTAATTAGAAATGTGACTTCTTTTTTGCTAGGAACAATAGCAGTTGTCTAATATATAGCCATAGACTATTCTTAGTAAAATAAAAACAAAGTTTTGCTAAGACAAATATGAGGAAGTCATGTGTTATATGAATGTCACCAAAAAAACCTTTCTCTCTTTCAGGGGACACTTATCTACAAGTCTTTTTACATTTAAGACAAGTGGTAAGCCTCTCATGGACTTCATAACTTATTATGATTTATATAATAGCCATTATTTTTTGAACACCGTATGTTAGGCACTTTGCCAGTTTCTAGGTTTTGTTTTTTGTTGTGATGGTTTTTTTTGTTTTTGGGGTTTTTTTTTGCACTTCCTCATTTAGTAACACAAATAACTCTAGGAGAGAAAATAGATTGTAGTTGTTGTTTAGTCACCCAGTCATGTCCAGCTCTTTGTGACCCCAGGGACCGGAGCACACCAGGTTTCCCTGGCCTCCACCGTCTCCCACAGATTGCTCACACGCCTGTCCATTGAGTTGGAGGTGCCATCCAACCATCCCATCCTCTGTCACTCACTTCTCCTGCCTTCGATCTTCTCCTGCATCAGGGTCTTTTCCAGTGGGTCAGTTCTTCGCATCAAGTGGCCATATTATTGGAGCTTCAGCATCAGTCCTTCCCATGAATATTCAGGGTTGATTTCCTTTAGGATAAAATAGATACTTAATAATTTAAGGAATAGAATAAACTGGAGATTTTATATTAATAGAGAAATGATCAAGTGACCATGGAAGTTTCCTAAGTAAAAGGGATTTTTTTTTTATATGTCTGAAGAAATTAATTAATCAACAGAAAATAATGAGTGCCTTTTTTCATTTGTCAGACACTCTTCTGGTGCTAGTGAAACAAAAGTGAGCAGAATTTCCATTCTGGTAGTGAGATATGGACAATGAACAGTGGATAAGTAAATGAATGTTTACAATGTACTGTCTACAACATTATAAAAGATGTAGGAAATAAGGCAAGGAGCGAGGACAGGCAGTGCCGGAGGGACTGGTTGGGAGTTTAAAGTGGGTTGGGGCTGGCCTCATGGAGAAGGTGACATCTGAGCAACACCTGGAGGAGGTCGGGGAGCCTGTTGCCCGCTGAGGAAGGCGTCCCAGGGAGAGGGTAAGGTGTCGCCAGTGACTAGTGGTCATTGCTGTGAATGGGCTTCTCGGGTGGCTCAGTGGTAAATAATCTGCCTGCCTATGCAGGAGATATAGGAGATGCAGGTTCAACCCCGGGTCAGGAAGACCCTCTGGAGGAGGATGCAACAACCCACTCCAGTATTCTCGCCTGGAGAATTCCACGGACAGAGGAGCCTGGCGGGCTACAGTCCGTGGAGTAGCAGAGAGTCAGGCACAGCTGAGCACACTCATGCATTGCTATGAATAAATACGTCTGTGTGTTCTCTGATGAAACACAAAGACAGACCCAGGAAGCATTTGCCTGCTTTTGAAATCCTCTAGTATGGGCTATTGTCAGCACAGCGAATGTTAATTAAAGGTACAATTCAGAGTTTCCAATGAATAAGTATTTATAGCTTTTTGAGTTTATGTCTGGAAACTGAATTACTTTCTTCTGTGTTTCAGGTTGTTATGGAACGCTGGGCATGGAATCTGGCGTGATCGCTGATGCTCAGATAACAGCATCCTCTGTGCTGGAGTGGACGGACCACACGGGACACGAGAACAGCTGGAAACCTGAAAAGGCCAGGCTGAAAAAACCGGGACCTCCCTGGGCTGCTTTTGCCACTGATGAGTATCAGTGGTTGCAAGTAGATCTGAACAAGGAAAAGAAGATCACAGGTAAAAGAGACAGAAGTTTCTAGATGATTTATAATGCTGATTTCATTTGAAAACCTGGTGACATGTAAGAATTTCATAGAAAATTTTGTCACTGCCAATTTAATTATATGATTTTAAGTTTAGTTCTGGAGAAGGAAATGGCAACCTACGCCAGTATTCTTGCCTGGAGAATGCCACAGACAGAGGAGCCTAGCAGCCTACAGTCCTTGGGGTCACAGGAGTCGCCCACAACTTAGCAACTACACCACCACCAAGTTTAGTTTACTGGTATTAATATGACCGAAGACGGTTTTATAAAGCATTGCAAAGGAGAGGAGTTAGTATTTGATTCTTATTAGTTTTTCTTTTCATTGTAGTAAGTTTTTTTTTAGGGTAGTGCTAGAGTAAAGGGATCTTGAGGCATCTGAAATAACCATCTCCTACATCATTAAGTGGAGAAGGAAACGGCAACCCACTCCAGTGTTCTTGCCTGGAGAATCCCAGGGACAGAGGAGCCTGGGGAGCTACAGTCCCTGGGGTCACAGAGAGTCAGACACGACTTAGTGACTAAACTGCAACAACAGTCATTAAGAGAAGTTTGTGTTCAATGAGTCCATTTTAAGTGCTGCAAATAATATCCCACATGTATAAGAATATCCCACAAGTATAAACTTAATTACTTAGAGCAACTTAACAAATGACCAGAATAGTTGGTTAGGATTACTTTAGATAATTTTGTTAAAATTTATTTTGCTTTGGTACTAAAAATAACGCCAATAATCTTTATTCATTCCCAGGAAGTCATTCTCTTTCAGTAAGTGAGCAGTATTTTGCAGTGACATGAATACAGGCTGCCAAAATACAATAGTCCTTTCCTTATATGTGGTCATAATTCTTCCTGTCCCTCCAAGGGAACGAAGCCAAGAGCAGTTCCTATTAGGATGAAACCTTGCACTTAGGTATGGTCCTGTGCCATAGACAAAACTGTTTGAACAGTACATGCCAGGTGTTAATGCTTCAGTGATGAACAAACTTCAAGGATCCGACTGAGCTCTAATGAACGACCTTCCTGTTCCTAGGCATTGTGACTACTGGCTCCACCATGGTGGAGCACAATTACTACGTGTCAGCCTACAAGATTTTATACAGTGCTGATGGGCAGAGGTGGACTGTGTACAGAGAGCCCGGTGTGGACCAGGATAAGGTAAAATGCTCGCTAAAATATTTCTAAAGAGCATTTTTAAAAGTGGGTGATGGCTAGGTGTGGCCTCTGCAGTAAGCCACAGAAGCTCCTCCTGTGATACTAAAAATTAAATATCCTTTGGTTTTGCTCTGCCCCCTCCCGGTGATTTTAGGTAGTGTTGGTTACTGGGCTTCCCTGGTGGCTCAGATGGTCAGGAACCCACCTACTGTGCGGGAGACCTGAGTTTGCTCTCTGGCTTGGGAAGATGCCCTGGAGGAGAGCGTAGGAATCCCCTCAGTATCTCCCCTGGAGAATGGAGCGCTATAGTCCATAGGGTCACAAAGGGTCGGACATGATTGAAGTAAGCATCGTGCACACAGTTATTGGCCTTACCCTTCTAACGTGGTTAGGAAATTCTCAGGGCTTCTGGGTCCTTTTTGATGGTTGTAAGGGTAAGTATTTTTCTTGATTTCTTTTTCCAGTATTAATTAAATTGTTTAAATAATTCATGAATTATTTACTATAATTAATTAATTTCTTATCTTTAAAAAACTTTTCTTAATCAATCCACAGAATGGTGAAGATCCTACTTTGTTCCTAGATTTCTGCTCTCTAGGCAAGTTGAGGGGGGTGCAGAGGACAAGGCAGAAGGGTATTAAATTATAGGATATTATAGAAAGATCATTTCAAGATCACCTCATCAACATTTGTTGTAAAAAAACAACTATTTTTTTTCCTACCTGGAGAATTTCCCTATCTTATTTTTCAGTTAGCCAAAAAATGACAGTGCTGTAATGTGCCAGAACAGAGGCTGAGGGGCAGAGAGAGAAAGGCAGAGGTGGCCCTCAGCCGGAGGCCAGTGTCTTTCACCTGGACTCCCGGTCTTGATCCACCCACCGCAAGGGGTCCCTGTCCCCAGGGACGGTGGATGCCTCTCATTTGGAATTGAATTATGAGCACATTTTTTCAGTGAAACCTCCCTGTGAGTTTTGTTTTGATTTTATGATACTATCAGTTCTCTGTCATGTATATGGTGTGCTAATATTTTCACTTGCCACTTATCTCTCTGTTCAAAAAAACTCCAGGGGTTCCTTTTAGTCTTTCATCTGGATCTAAACTCTTCAGCTGTTATTCAAGGCCTTCCTTCTTCTCTCCTACTTGATATCACATGAACTTCACCTTTAATGAGCTTCCACCCCTTGAAGAAAATAACAATATTGTCTCTGTATGTAACTTATTTCTGCTTCATGCCCCCAAACTTGACTACTTTTTACTATTAGCACATCTATATTTATTTGTATAGTAATACTTGTTATACTTGTGGAATAATTTTTATAATCATAAGTATTATCAGTGCTTATATTTTGAAAACATCTTAACAAATTTCTGAAAAAATATTTTTGGCTTCTTTTTGAAAGATAATTTCACTGAGTTTAGACTTCAAGTTTGGGACTTCCCACGTGGCTCAGTGGTAAAGAATCGTAGATTCCCGCCAATGCAGGAGACGCAGGATACATCCGTTCAATTCCTGGGTCGGGAAGATCCCTGTAGTAGGAAATGGCAACCTACTCCAGTATTCTTGCCTGGGAAAGCCCATGGACAGAGGAGCCTGGTGGGCTATAGTCCATGGGGTAGCAAAGAGTTGGACATGAGTTAGTGACTAAACCCCCACCTATAGGGTCAGAGTTCTTACCTGTAAAATGAGGAAGGGATCTGGCTTATCAGTTCTGATCTGCTTTTCTGCTGTGACACACACAGCTATTCTGGGATGCAGTTAGGTTACTTGGAAATCATGTGATCTTTTCAAGGCTTACATTTTTGTGTTGTTAGGCAAGACCTGAGCAGCTTTAGTTCTCATCTTTCCCGACTACTGAGACAGTATTGTTCTAAGAACTCAACCCAGTATCCTTGGTCTGTGAGGCTTCCCCACTCTCTGCTGGCAGAGAAATGGGACATGTGCTTATACAGTTTCTCCAGTAGGTGGAGATATATATCCCTATGTGTTTATTAGTGTGTTCACTTTCAATTTATTGAGAGAAAAATTATGAAAAGTACACAGTAAAGCATTTCCTCTAAGACCTCAAATGTTCAATTATGCTTTACTTTAAAAATAAATTTATTTAAATAGCTGATGATTCCGTAGGAATTATTAATACAATATACTGTGCACTGCAATTAAAACCTTCTCCTCAAATTACCATTAGAACTTTTATTATGTTTAAGTCATTTAAAATGATTTTTATATTCAGTATTTCCTTTTCTGAAATTTTTATGAAGAATGTGCAGCTTCTTAATAGTTTTTCCAAATTATGATTTATTTTCATACAAATTAATGCTTATTGTCATACTTTGCAGAGCTCATTTAAGGCCCAGAGCAAAACCCAAAAACATGTTTCAGTGGAGCAGTTTAGCCCTGGCCTCTGTTGATGTAAAATACCAATTTTTTGTTGTTTTTTAAAGATATTTCAAGGAAACAAAGATTATCACCAGGATGTGCGTAATAACTTTTTGCCACCAATTATTGCACGTTTTATTAGAGTGAATCCTACCCAATGGCAGCAGAAAATTGCCATGAAAATGGAACTGCTTGGATGTCAGTTTATTCCTAAAGGTAATTCAACAATATGTTTAAGGCATCTTGTTTTCACTGCATTAATTAAAAATGACTTTGCTGTTCTCTGAGAAACTAATAATAATGTGCTTATCCTGTAGTTATCATATCTTCTTAAAGGGATCTTCAAAAAGAAATGGTTATCCTTATTAACTATCATATTAGGTATCAAACTGGCTTCTAAAATTACAGGTGGAAGAAGAAAGAGCATCACTGATGAGACAAAGCAAAGAGCTGGATTTCCAAATGTAATCTCAGCCTTAATCATTTATAGTCAGGTCTCACATAGTAGAATGCTTCTATCATTTAAGCACTGATGATTGTAACAGTCATCTTAACCTGAGTACATTTTACTTTGAATAAATTAAAAGTAAGAATAACTTCCATCAAAATTATGTAATATTTTAATACTTTGTTTACTGTTATATTCCCTGAAACTACCATAGTGCCTGACACATAGTAGGCCCTCCATAAATATTTATTAAATGAGTTGAATGAGTAATAAGTATATATATATAGTGACAACATTTTTATAGCTTTATCCTTTCAACGTCCTCTATCCTTTCAATATCATCTCCTTCCTAAGAAGATTCTTTTCAGACAATTTGGTTATTTAAAAACTCAGAAATCTCAGTATATTTGTGCATTTACTGCAGATTACATTTATCATGATGACATCTTTCTCTGAGATTTAAAGTTACTGTGTAAAACTAAGTGCTGTGGGAAACGTTAAACACATTTAAGATTGCTATTTTTTTAACTATGATTTTTATAAGCAAAATGTAGAAACTTTTCTAAACCATTTTTCAAGGTCGTCCTCCAAAACTTACTCAACCTCCACCTCCTCGGAGCAGCAATGACCTCAGAAACACTACAACCCCTCCAAAAATAGCCAAAGGTATGCCTCCTTTAAAAGTGAGCATTCAGTATTCCCTAGTTTTGTGGTATAATTTTCAATAAGTATGTTGAAAGCATTATAAAGTAACTATTTTAATCAAGTTGGTGTAGATAAAAGAATAAAGAGTTTTTAAAATTTTTTTCAAGGTCGTGCCCCCAAATTTACTCAACCACTACAACCTCGAAGTAGCAATGAATTTCCTACACAGACAGAGCAGACAACTGCCACTCCTGAAATCAAAAATACTACCGTAACTCCAAGTGTGACCAAAGGTATGCAAACCCAAAAATCAATACCTGTTTATAGGATTGAATTTTTTTGTTTTTAACAAGGAACATCAGGAACATGTTCAGGAACATGTTTTCAGGAACATCTCCAGCTTTTAAACCCTCAAGGTTTTCCCCCCCTTTCTTTTAAGTATAGCAAAAAGTTCAACTCCATACCTTATAGAAAACTGGCTGCATTGCTAAGCTCTGTTATCTGTTACAATGTAAAATGATTCCTTAAATATTTAGAGATGGCTGCTGTATTCTAGGCTTCCTTTTGTGATTTTTTCCCCCTTCTATAGCTAAATACGTGGAGCCTCAGCCTTAGAAAGAAAATTTTTCTAGAAATAACTAAAACCATAGCAAGAAGCAAACTTTTTTCTGATTATATATTAATTTGTTAGATTGGGATTTGGTAGCAAAAAGGGAAGAAGAAAAATAACAAAAGGTTTGGTGAAAATTAGCATACTTAAAAAAAAAAAAAGATACTCTTAACATTTATTAAATGTTAAATTTAACGTTAAATTTTTAAAATTTGGTCTCTTTTTTAAATGTTTATAGTTACTTTTCAGATGACACTTTTCCAATTTACTTTCAAGCTTGTTATTTATTATTGTTATATAAAATGTTAACATATGTAAACATACTAGTTTTTTATTTTACTAGTTGAAAACAAAATTTCAGTTGAATTCAGGAACAAAAGCATCAGTGCCATCAAGGAATTAACTTCAGTGTTGACAGATGAAAAGCACACTAATTTTCAGGGCAATGCAGAGAAGAGAAAGCATTCATTCAGAGTAACTTAATAAAATTTTAATCATTCTCATTTTCTGAAAATTTGTCTGGATTCAGATAGCTTTCTACAACTTCCCACATCAGTTTCCTTTGTATCTTCTAAAATATTTCCAAAGAGACCTGTGTCTTTCTCATGCTGCAGGAAAGGCTAGTGTTGATTGAAAAAAAAAAAACAAAAACTTACAGCCTGAAAGTTGAGAATTGTGTTTTAGCCAGGTTCCTACTGAGGATTGTAGTCTGGGATACAGCCTCTCAGATAGCCCTGTGAAACTATTTTAAAGACATAAGGGAGGAGCTGGGATATGTAGGAATTTTTGCTGGGGAAAAAAGATTAAAAAAACGACATCTAAAGTTAATGATTTTAATGCTTTTCTATGTAGGGGAAGATGCAACAGTCTGAGTTCACTGAAATTATTCATTAATATGTATCTTGACTGTTTAGAGTCAGTATTCCGGTTTTCTCCATCCTGAACTCCTCTCGGGGTACATGGTCATGGGTGGGGGTCGTGGCTGAGAACTTGAGGCAACATTGATTCCTGAAATGGCAGGCAACATTTATTTTGTCCACGTTAGAAAGAAGCAAGAGTTGACAGAGACAAGAAATTTCAGCATCCCACAAAGAGCTTCAGTTTACAAAAAGCATGCATTTGGGTGGGATCCCAGACCACATACCATATGGAAGAGCAGTCATTTTAAAGTGTTGCTCATCTTAAAATCTGATTATAGAATTTTAACATCTTAGGACTAAAAGTGTTCTTAAAGCATTTTATTCTGGAACTAGGATCCATGTAATCTTTAAAAGACTAACAAAGAGCGTACAAGTCTTTTTGATTGAAGACCTCCCTGTCTCCTTTTCTTTGAAATAGTACTGTATAGAATTTATTATTTTTTGAACCTAAGCATATATTGTATTAATAATACCTCTGATTAAGTCAAACAGTATCCATCTGAACCTGACTATTTTCTCTACATTTTCACACACTTTAGGGATAAAGCACTTTTGCTTTTCTAATTTCTTAGTCCTTTCTATCCTGAGTCACTATTTCTATTTCTTCTCCTTTCTCCATTTTTACCTCCAGTCTAAGGGTGATGCTGGTGAAAATCACATCATGGCCAGATTTGTGATGCTCTAACATCAGGGTCCTCCCTCAGTACCAGCTGGTGGTCTTTCTGTTTCCCTGGTTAGTTCTTCTGTCTGTTCCCAACAGTAGCTCTTAGACACATTCTCTGTATTTTTCAAACCCTTGGCCCAGAGATCCTCACTCACTCTCAGTTACATCTTCAGCTTCACGAAGTAGAAGCCATTTGAAGGGCACTTCAGTGGAAGCTTTTTCTGGAACCTGCATACTCATCTATTTCCCATCCATCCTACTTTCTCGGAGGCCTGGTGTTCTGGATTATCCGCTCCCTTCCTGAATCTTCAGGCTCACTGTTTCTTTGGGCTATGACGATATGGAGTAAAGGAGATGCAGGTCTGGAGCTTCCCACCCAGCAAGTATCAGCAGCTGTTGCTGTTGTCATCGTCATGGCCAGGAGGAGGTTAAGGAGTGGAGGGAGAAACCACCTTCCCAGATGACCTTCGCTGTCATTCAGTCGGCCGGGCATTTCTGACTCTCTGCAACCCCAAGGTCTGCAGCCTGCCAGGCTTCCCTGTCCTTCACTATCTCCCAGAGTTTGCTCAAACTCATGTTTGCTGATTCGGTGATGCCACCCAACCATCTCATGTTCTGTTATCCCCTCCTCCTCCTGCCCTCAGTCTTTCCCAGAATCAGGGTCTTTTCCAATGAGTCAGCTCTTCACATCAGGTGGTCAAAGTATTGGAGCTTCAGGTTCAGCATCAGTCCTTCCAATGAATATTCAGGGATGATTTCCTTTATGAATGACTGGTTCAATCTCCTTGATTCTTGATCTCCAAGGGACTCTCAAGAATTTTCTCCAGGACCACAATTCAAAAGCATCAACTCTTCAGTGCTCAGCCTTCTTTAATGGTCCAACTCTCAACATCCATACATGACTACTGGGAAAACCATAGCTTTGACTATCAAACCTTTGTCAAGAAAGTGATGTCTCTGCTTTTTAATATGCTATCTAGTTTTGTCATAACTTTGCTTCCAAGGAGCAAGCATCTTTTGGTTTTGTAGCTGCACTCACTGTTCACAGTAATTTTGGAGTCCAAGAAATAAAATCTGCCACTGTTTCCATTGTTTCCCCATCTATTTGCCATGAAGTGATGGGACCAGATGCCTTGCATCATCTTATTTGTTTTTTGAACATTGAGTTTTAAGCCAGATTTTTCACTCTCCATCATCAAGAGGCTCTTTAGTTCCTTTTTGCTTTCTGCCATAAGGGTGGTGTCATCTGCATATCTGAGGTTGTTATTTCTCCTGTTAATCTTGATTCCAGCTTGTGATTCATCCAAACCAGCGTTTTGCATGATGTACTCTGCATATAGGTTAAATAAGCAGGGTGACAATGTATAGCCTTGACATACTCCTTTCCCAGTTTTGAACCAGATGACCTTGTTGTTCAGTTGCCCAGTCATGTCCAACTCTTTGTGACTCCATAGACTGCAGCATGCCAGGCCTCCCTGTCCCTCACCATCTCCCAGAGTTTGCCCAAGTTCATGTTCACCGTTTCATCCTCTGATGCCCTCTTCTCCTGCCCTCAGTCTTCCCCAACATCAGAAACTTTTCCAATGAGTCATGTGTTCACATCCGATGACCAATATACTGGAGCTTCAGCTTCAGTATCAGTCCTTCCAGTGAATATTCAAGGTTGATCTCTCTTAAGATTGACTGGTTTGATCTCCTTGCTGCCTGCATGACTTTCAGGAGTCTTCTCCACTACCACAGTTTGAAGGCATCAATTCTTTGGCATTCTGCTTTCTTTACAGTCCGGCTCTCAAAACTGTACCTGACCACTGGGAAGACCATAGCCTTGACTATATGGACCTTTGTCGGCAGAGTAATGTGTCTACTTTTCAACACACTGTCTAGGTTTGTCATCATTTTCCTGCCAAAAAGCAATTGTCTTCTGATTTCATAGCTGGACTCACCGTCTGCAGTGATTTTGGAGCCCAAGATGAGGAAATCTGTCACTATTTCTACCTTTTCCCCTTCTGTTTGCCATGTAGTAATGGGGCCAGACGCCATGATCTTATTTTTTTTTAATATTTAGTCTTAAGCCGGCTCTTTCACTCTCCTCCTTCACCCTCAAGGGGCTCTTCAGTTCCTCTTTGCTTTTTGCCGTTAGAGTGGTATCATGTGCTTATCATGAGGTTGTTGATGTTTCTCCCGCCTGTTTTGGTTTCAGCTTGTCACTCATCCAGCCTGGCATTTCTCATGATGTGCTCAGTGTATAGCTTAAACAAACAGGGCAACAGCAGACAGCCCTGTTCTACTCCTTTCTTGATCTTTAACCAATCAGTTGTTCCATACAGATGACCTTAAGCAGGCCATTTTCTACCCAGGATTCCTTATCTATAGAGTGAGGTCACTTAATCCCCTTATTAAGTGATAAGTGATTAAGTGATCTCCAAGTTCCCAAAGGCCCCAGCATTGTGTTGGTTTCTGCCTTGTTCATACGTGCATGGTTTCAATACTTAATACTATATGCAGAGTACATCATGTGAAATGCCAGTCTGGATGAATCACAAGCTGGAATCAAGATTGCCAGGAGAAATATCAATAACCTCAGAAATGCAGATGACACCACCCTTATGGCAGAAAGCAAAGAGAAATTAAAAAGCCTCTTGATGAAGGTGAAAGAGGAGAGTAAAAAAGCTGGCTTAAAACTCAGCATTTAAAAAATGAAGATCATGGCATCTAGTCACATCACTTCATGGCACATAGATGGGGAAACAGTGGAAGCAGTGATAGACTTTATTTTCAGGGGCTCCAAAATCACTGTGGATGGTGACTGCAGCCATGAAATTAAAAGATGTTTGTTCCTTGGAAGAAACACAATGACAAACCTAGACAGTGTATTAAAAAACAGAGACGTTACTTTGCCTACAAAGATGTGTATAGTCAAAGCTATGGTTTTTCCAGTAGACATGTACAGGTGTGAGAGCTGGACAGTAAAAGGCTAAGTGCCAAAGAATTGATGCTTTTAAACTGTGGTGTTGGAGAACACTCTCGAGAGTCCCTTGGACAGCAAGGAGATCCAACCAGTCAATCCTAAAGGAAAAGAACCCTGAATATTCACTGGAAAGACTGATGCTGACAATATAAAGAGCCAACTCATTGGAAAAGACCCTGATGCAGGGAAAGATTGGAGGCAAGAGGAGAAATGGGTAACAGGGGATGAGATGGTTGGATGGCATCACCAACTTAATGGCCATGAGTTTGAACAAGCTCCAGGAGATGGTGAAGAACAGGGAGGCCTGGCAGGCTGCACTCCATGGGGTCACAAAGAGTGGGACACAACTTAGCAACAGCCACAACTTGGTACTATGGTGTTATCTTTTCACATCTGTGACTATTCTGCCGTCACTTCCAGTATCTAGGTAATATTTTATTATAAGGAGGATACGGTGATTTACTTCCTCCCCCTCACTGTTGAACATTTGGATTACTTCCCGGTTTTCACTCTTCTGCAGATACAGTAGAAAAGATCTTTAAAGGTACATCTTTAAATGCCATCATAATTTTCTTCTAAGAATCATTCTGCATAGAGAGTTGCCAAGTAACACCTTTTTATAAATTTTGCCCCCAAATGCCGATCAGCATGATAGTTATAGTCCCATCAGAATACCTGTTTCTTGAGACCCTCTTCAGCAATTAGTTGTTCTTTTAAATATTTGCCAGTTTGATAAGCAAAAATCGCATCTTATTCTTATCTGAGCTCTACTTCTCTGGTTACTAGTGAGGTGAACATGTTTAATGCTCACTTTTTTTTTTCCGCTTGTTCAGTAAGTTTATTATTGTCTTTATCTGAAAAGTTTTGATAGCACATTGTGGTTTGGTTTATTAACTCTCGGGAGCCTGTTCCTGAACGAAGGAAGCTGATCTTTCTTCTGGGCAAGTGACATTTTGGGACAGTTCCACCTCTTCTTTTTAACTTCTTTCTTAGGCGTCTTCTCATACACTGGATTTTCTCATATTGCAGCGTGAGCTTTCTTATACATCTCCTCCATCATGTCTGGAGTTACATTGTCCTTTATGTACTGAGGAATTGTTTCTTGTAAGCATCCTCATCTTCTTCAATCAGGTAACGCATGTAATCTGCAGCATCCTGCTCCACGATATGCTCTCAGTGTACCTCAGCGTTGAATTCTTTGCCTCTTAATGCATTGCTTTTTCATCTCTGCTGACCTTTCTGTTTATTTTTTTACTGTAAATTCTGTAATAGATTAACTAGTATTAACCTCTTATCACATATGCAGAAAATATTTCCCGGTTTATCATTTGTCTTTTAATCTGTCTTGGTGTTTTATTTATTTATTCTTTTGTCTTGGTGTTTTAAAAACATACAGTGGTGGAGCAAATAATGCAGCAAATTTCCATGTATCTGTGAAATCTCTAGTTACCACTTGTGCCCACTTTCATGGCATAAATTACGGGGCTTTTTTGAGCTAGAAAAATTTTGAATAACGATACGGTTAATCTTCACTCTTCTCCTTGATGACTCTTTCTTCGGTGCTAACATCTTTGTCTGGTTCTGTTTTTAGATGTGGCCTTGGCCGCGGTCCTCGTCCCCGTGCTGGTCATGCTGCTCACCACTCTGATTCTCATACTAGTGTGTGCTTGGCATTGGAGGAACAGGTTAGTACCAAACCAGTTCACCTGACCCGTCCTGGAGGGGATGTTTCCAAATGCGAAATAGAACTAAATATGGAAGATGAACCCTCTTGAGAGGAAGAGTTAAGGTGGCCATTAAAATAAAAAGATGTACACGCCTCCTTTATTCCTGTAAAAAATGAGTAACTTCAATTATTGAGTACCTTTATTATCTCAAACTCTGTTACACACTGGGTTACACACAGTAGTAAGGTATAATAGATCCTGAGTAACGTTTACTGAGAGAATGAAACGCCATTCTTATCTCCAGATTGTCTGGCCGATTGAACACTCTAGTTTGGCTTGATGAGTTGTATGTGAAATGCAGAGGAACACAGATGTAAGAACCTTGAGAGTTACCTGAAACCTTTTTCTCAGAAAAGAGTAATCCTCATATTTGACAAGTTTTCCCTTAAAGGGGGAGTTGATTTTAGCTAGCTAGAGGAAGAAAGAACGGCCCAGACTGAGTGCATGGCTCGGTAGAAGGCACGGAGATGTGGAGTGTAGGCAGAATAGTGAGCTGCCTCACAGGGGCTTGGCATGGGGGGGCACTGGGAGACTCCTAGAGATGCAGCCTGGGTCTGGACCAGGAAGGGCTTTCTGTAGATGGGGAAGACACTGAGCAGTGTTCAGCGGGCAGGTGATGATATCAGATGACTGTAGGAAAATGGTGGCAGCAGTTTGTGAGGGTGGATTGAAGAGACAAGAGACTAGAAAAGACAGAGAGATGAGTTAGGAAACTGCTAAGGCCAGGCAAGAACATAACACAGCAGTTCTCGGAGACGGGGGAGACATGAGGCAGAGAGGTTTGCCAGTGGTGTCAGGCGGGGGACTTGATGGGCTGCTTGCCAGAGGAGGAGGAGGATCTAGGATTCACTCCCGCTTCCTGCTTGTGCAGTTAGACCAGTAGGGATAGCATAGCCATGGGGACAGCTTTGGTGACTAACAGGTTTGGAAGGAGTTCATTTGTTCAGCCATTAAATATTTGCGCTCTGACTCTGTACCAAGTATGTCCTTCTGGTGGGAGTCCTCTGGTGAGCCCCAAAGTCTGTCCAGTGGGAGAGAATACATTGCAAAGAACCGTCCACCATGGAACCTGCTTGTCATAGGGTGGAGCTCTCAGGGCAGGTAGGAATCACAAAGATTGGAGTAGCCAGTATTCAATAAGTCACTGAGTTTATTACACGTAATTAGCACAGAACTCAGGTTGGGCAGAGTAGGGGGTGTGGGGTAACGAACCACTCCAAGGAGCAGTCTGGAAGGACACATCTGGGCACCAGCAGCCGCAGTCTCTGGTCCAGCTGCAGGCCTTGGCCCCAGCAGGGCCACAGGCAGCATCCATGTGCATGGGGTCAGGGCCTCCCGCCAGCAGCCTTCAGGTCACTCAGCTCAGTGGTCTCTTAAGGAGTAACCGGTCCCCCAGGGAGGAGGCCTGACTCCTTTGGTTGTCTGTCTGTTCCTGTGCTGTGTACGGCCCATCAAACTTCTGAGCTAAAGTGATGTTCTCAGTTTACCGCTCTAAGACCCTGGCAGCCCCATAGCAGGTGTTTCAAAACAACTTAGAAGAGTTCACCTTGGCCACTGGGACTCCCACTTTGAACTAGGCAGCAAGTCGTGCGGGCTTCCCTGGTAGCTCAGTTGGTAAAGAATCTGCCTGTAATGCAGGAGATCTGGGTTCAGTTCCTAGACTGGGAAGATCCCCTGGAGGAGGGAATGGCAACCCACTCCAGTATGCTTGCCTGGAGAATACCACAGACAGAGGAGCCCGCTGGGCTACGGTCCATGCGGTCGCAAAGAGCGGGATACAGCCGAGCAACTAACGCACATACATACACACACACATCATAAATAGCTTAAATCCTGTAAGTTTCACACAAGAGGAGTAGGAATCGTAACACAAATCTCATCAAAACAGGACTGACTACAGTGTGTTCCGCTGGAGGAAGGACCCTGTCTGCGGGACTGACAGCTTAGCAAGGCCGGGGAGGGGGAGGACGGGGAGGAGGGAACGGGCTCCAGGAAGGTCCAGGAAGGGAAGCTCACGCTGCTGTCGGGCCAGTGGGCAGCAGCAATAGTGGTGGTGAGAATAGCACCAATAGAAATCTTTATACAAAGTGAAATGAAATGCAGACTTTACGCATTGTTCTAAATGCCTTACATGTTTAACTCATTTAACCAGTTTGTAAAGCAGGTATTGTTACAAACCCCATTTTACAGAAGAGGAAAGTGAGACAAAGGGAGCACAAGTAACTTGCTGAGGTCACCTGGTCAGCACATGGCAGGGTGGGGATTTAGTCCAGGCCTCTGACAGTCAGCCGATCAGGTCTACTCATCTGTGGTTAAAACCCTGGGCTGGGCGGTGAGGAACGGGGAGCAGAACTGTTGAGAGCCCGGAGGCAAGTCCTGAGATGAGTTTGGGATGGTATCTAGAGGACTCTGTGCACATTCAGACTCCAGAGAGGTAGATGGAACACGAGCCTGTTCAGGACAGAAGGTCTGAGCAGCAGAGTTAAGGGTACTTTTAAGAACTTAGTGGATGCAATTGCGGACAGCTGGCTTTGGGACAAGGAGCAAAGAGGAACCACCGTTAAGGGGCTTACGGAAGATAGCCAGGAGAAAAGTAGTAACAAAAACAGCCGCCACTCACAACCCCTGACCCAGGCTGGGCACTGCTCTAAGTACTTTACATGGCATGAATAAACAACCTGGAGCTTCTTCACTTGAGATCAAGAATATGCAGTCCTTTATAGTACAACCATTGGGCAACTTCAGCACCTACCTCCTTATCCACAAACTTTACACTATACTTACTTGAAGTAATGAAGTATTATATTTTAAATACAGCTATACTTTTAAATGAGGAAGCTCTTAGTATCAATAATAAAAACACAGTCTTATACTGGAGAAGACTGTTTCCAAATAGGAAAGGCACATACCTTGGGCTCTTTGAGGAAGCCTCATTTGTGATGGTGAGCAAATCACATAACCCTCCTGAGCTCATTTATAATGATGGAACAGCTTCTTTCTCTTTAGCTTGCAGTGCATTACTTTAATTAGATTTACTTTCTTGAACCAGAAAATGTCCTTTCGTGTGCTTGATATTTTTCTCTGTAGATAGTAGTTCTTAATGCCGGGGAGAGACGGAAGTTTCTCCAGGGAAAGATATTCTGAATTCTGAGGAGCGGGCTGCGGAGAACCTTCTCCACAGCCCACGTGGCCCTCAGCTCTGTCGCTGTGCATGATGGTGTTAGCTTGTCCTGGGCAGGGTGGAGGAATCAGGTCTTCGAGGTTAAGGGTATGTGTGACAGTTTAAACTTCTCAGGTGCAAAGAACCGTAAGGAAAAAACAGTAAGTTGAGAAAATAACAACAATGCAGAAGAAAATGTGAGGGTTCTGGTATTCTTGTTGTCCTGTAAACTTGATGAACCAACAGATTTGTGAAATTTGTATTTGAAACCAAAAGGAACCTAACAGGATTTCCCCATCTTAATCCACACATCAGGGTTGGGTCTTTGGTTTGATTCAGCTTTTTTATTTACAGAATCAGTGTTTTTTTTTTTTAAAAAAAAAAAAACTCTATCCATTTTGAGTGGGAAATAGTTGGGAAACCAAATAACTCTGTCAGCAGATAGTTGCTTAATATTTATTGAGAGTCCAGCGTTCAGCCATGGCAACCTTGAAAGTCAAATGAAAAAGAGCTCTCCCCTGGGTAGATCAGCAAGTAGCAGTGTGTACTCTTGACTAATTATTAACTTTTGAGTGTTTATCTTACTGTTTCAGAGCTTTCTTACTAGTGAATTCACTCTATTTGCTTTTTATTTTCCCCCTGTATTTTTCCAGAAAGAAAAAAACGAAAGGCACCTATGACTTGCCGTACTGGGACCGGGCAGGTAATTTACAGCTTCGTATCTCTCTCTATCAGAGGGAAGCCCTGCCCTATAAGGGATGACAGGAGAAGAGGAAAGCCATTTTCAGGCCCACATCAACTCCCCGGCACTGTTAGAAAAACGGCATTCCTCTTCTGATCATTTTTTTCTTTTCTGTAAAAATCTCCTGTAGTCTCTAAGTAATGAAATGGAATTTCATTATAAGAATTTCTCATAACACACGCTTTGCTCTTTTCCTCCTGGAAACCTTGTCTGATTTGCCTCCACATACGTCTCTGTCCTGAGACCAGCTTTCTGTGTGGTGTGCGCGAGCACCAGGTACGAGGCGGGGGCTGCGGCTCCGGTGACGGCGTGGCCGCTCTGCTGTGGCCGTTTGGCCCCGTGGGGTTGGTCTGCCGTCTCTGCGCGAGTTGTTGTTCCGAGTCCTGCTCCGTGTGGCCGGGGGCGGCAGGGCCCTTCTGCGGGTCTCCCACCTCCCCAGCCTCAGTGGAGTGACTGTTTGGAGCCCAGAGAGCTCACTGCGAGCAGGGCAGAAAAGAGCAGGTGGGGTCGGATTCTGTGCTGCTGTCCCCCCAAACCCCCCCCCCCACAGGGTTAATCTTAGAATTCTTTGAACTTATTAATGTATTAAAAACCACTGCTGAAACAACTGTCCGGCTGCACTGTAACAGCAGTGGTTTGCATCAGTATGTTGCTTTTGATGAGATTTGTACCGTGTTCTGCTTTGCATTGGATAGTCTATCAAAGCAGAAAATAAGCTGGGACAACTTAAGGAACTAGAAAAAGAACAAGCTAAACCCAGAGCTACTGGGAAGAAGTAAATAATAAAGATTAGACAAGAGAAAATAGAGAATAGGAGGAAAACAGAAAATGGCAAGTGTTGGCAAGGATGTGAAGAAATTGGAACCATTGTGCGCTGTTGATGGGAATGTGACATGGATGGGAATGTGACATGGATGGGAATGTGACATGGATGGGAATGTGACATGGTTCAGCTTCTTTGGAAAGTAGGTTTTTTTTTTTGGTCAGTTCCTCAAAGAGTTAAAAATACAATTACTGTATGATCCAGCAATTCCACTTCTAGGTGTGTACCCAAAAGAATGGAAAGCAGAGTCTTGGACAAATGTTTCTACATCCATGTTCACAGCAGTGTTATTCAAAATAGTTAAAACATGGAAGCAACCCAAGTATCGATCCACTAATGTATGAATAAGCAAAGTGCAGTATACACATAAAGTGGAATGTTAAGCCTTAAAAAAGGAAATTCTGCAGTATATACTCTAGTGTGGATGAACCTTGAGGACTTTATGCTAAGTGAAATAAGCCAGTCACAAAGAGGAAAGTAACATACGACTCCGTTTATACGAGATACTACGCATAGGTAGTATTCTAAAGACAAAGCGGATGCTGGTTGCCAGGGGCTGAGGGGAGGAGAGAGTCGGGAGTTACTGCTTCATGGATATGAAATCTGTTTCACAAGACGGAGATAGCTGGAGTGAGGGTCGCCCAACAGTGTGAACATATGTGATGTCACTGATCTGCTTAATTAAAAACGGTTCGGGAAGTTCCCTGGTGCCGTGGTGAGGATTCCAGCCTTTCACTGCACTGGATTCAATCCCTGGTCAGGAAACTGGAAGCCGTGTGGGTGCAGCCAAAAAAAGGGAGTAAGATAGAAAATTCTGTGTATTTTACCACATTTTTTTTTTAAAGTCTTGAACATCAAGGCTCATTTTATAGATATTTGTTACAGAAATGGCTTAAGTGCAGCAGGATTTCTCCCTTGATATTACTGTTATCATTTCAAACATAGCTTTCTCTTTAATGGTCTCTCTTGCTTATGATCACAATGAAGGCTGGTGGAAAGGAATGAAGCAGTTTCTCCCTGCCAAGTCCGCGGAGCACGAGGAAACCCCAGTTCGCTACAGCAGCAGTGAGGTGAACCACTTGAGTCCGAGAGAAGTCACCGCTGTGCTGCAGGCTGACTCTGCAGGTAATTACGGCGCGGCCCGGGCCCAGGGAGGAACTCGGTGCTTGCCGCAAGCGCTTTGGTGTTTCCAGTATTTATCTTTTTCCGTGTAGGAGATGAGCTGGTTTCCACATGTAGATCCACTTTTTTAAAAAGACCTCGAGAGAGTCATGTCTGTGTCTCAGATGTTCTATCCATAAAATTGGGGTATTCATTTCTAAAAACTTCGGGCATATGTCTGCTTATCTGGAATTTCATTTGGTTTTATTGGGAGTTTGAGGGTAGTAAAAGGAGAGCAGGAAAGACACAGTGGCCTCGGTATTTATCCTATTAACCCAGTGTATATTTTAAACATTTCCAAATATTTGAAAAAGAAAAACATGAAATTATTTTCCAAGACCAATATTATTTCAGTAATGGACTATTTTCAAATGAAATAGTTATCCGTAAATCTGAAGAACACATACACTCTTTATGCAGAATTCCATGAATGAAGCTTTCTGGCACATTGACACATTACCTTGAGATAACATCTTTAATTTTAATTTTTGAAGTTGATTCTTGCAGGAAAATCCATCCGTCTCCATGATAGCACAGGTGCCATAAAGATGTGTGTTTTCAGGGTAAGCCTGTGGCATTAATGAGAGAACTTCTGTTTGTGTTTTGCGACACCCAGAGTATGCACAGCCACTTGTGGGAGGAATCGTGGGCCCCCTCCATCAGAGGTCTACCTTTAAACCCGAAGAAGGAAAGGAAGCGGGGTATGCTGACCTCGATCCTTACAGCTCCCCCGTGCAAGAAGTTTACCACGCCTATGCAGAACCGCTGCCAGTGACCGGGCCTGAGTACGCAACCCCGATCGTCATGGACATGTCCGGGCACCCCTCGGCTGCAGCTGGCCTGCCCTCAACGTCCACTTTCAAAGTTGCAGGGAACCAACCGCCCCCCTCAGTGGGAACATACAACACTCCCCTCTCCAGGACCGACAGCTGCTCCTCGGCACAGGCCCAGTATGACACCCCGAAAGGCGGGAAGCCGGGCCCGAGCGCCCCGGACGAGCTGGTGTACCAGGTGCCGCAGAGCACACAGGAGGTGTCAGAAGCAGGGAGGGAGGGCGGCTGTGATGTTTTTAAAGAAGTCCTTTGAAGGTGATGCTGCTTTTTACAAAGCATCATTTTAAAGCACATGGCCTTTTTTGTTGTTGTCGTATTAGTGGTAGAACGTATTACATATCTGTCACGGATGTGGTTGGGGGAAGTGTGATGACCGAGGTACAAAAAAACTACTAATCTTACCATCTTGCTTTCAAAGGGTTACTGTGGCACAGTTACTGCTTGCCTATGAAATTTCAAACATCTTGTTTGTTACTACTGTAAAACACTATTTTATACAGAAAAGGCTCCCTACTATGCACTTCAAAGAAATTTAAAATCACTGAGTATTTATTACTGATGCTGCAGGTACATTGATGAACTCGAGATGGCTCTGTAAGCCTTTCTGGCAATAACACATGGTACTGTTCTTAAAAATGTCTAATGGCTTGAAATTCAGCAATTTATGAAAGGTGGGTACTATTGTGATTTCTTTCTCTTCTATTCCTGTATTGCTTTCTGAATTTAAAAAATATATATTGATATAATCATTGTTTTGATTGCAGCATTATGTATTTATCCATCTTTCCTTAGGAAGAGCTGTAGCTGGGAAACTGACCTGTAGTGAGCAGAGTGATTTTTCACTTTCTGACACTCTAATGAACTTAAGCATCTCATAGTACATGACCTGGGCTCATCCCTTGCTTGTTCCACCTGGGGCCTTTGGCAGTCTGCCCCATTCTCATGCTTATAAATGCCTGGGTTTTTTTAGTGGGTGATGCTTGCTATATCAGTCTCATTAATTTAGATCCCCTAGTGTCTCCATGCGGAAACAGGAACAATTTTATAAATTTAAAAAGCTGTAAAGGAGATCCTCTGCTCCAAACTCTTATTTGCAATGGAATTCTTCCTAGGAGAGTGTGAGAAGTTAAGGGCTTCTAAACAGGAACACTGTAAACAATACCCACTTGATATTTATCATCAACGTGAAAGGCAAAATTATTCCTCAGGAATTATATAAATTACCTCCCCTCCACAAAAGTAACCAAATTGCTTTGGTTTTATATACAGACTGTTCTTTGAATCTCAAGGTATTTATTGTTTTTAGTGAAATAAATGTTTTTCCACAGTAAGAAATGTAAACCCAGCATGTATTTTTCAGCTCTCTGATTATGCCATCTATGTGGTCGGGAGGTGTGAGTAGTCTCATACATCACTAGGGAACAGAGGGAACAAATGTTTTAGCATCCTAGCAAAGGAAAATTCCTGTCTTGCTTTTAATACCTCTGAGCAACTTCGGTCACCCAGAAGTAGTTTAAATGACCGAAAATAGAAGTCATCTGCAGTTTACTAGCCTTAGTGTAGAAACCATCTTTAGAAGTCTTTAGATTGGTAAGATGATATGAGAAGCTAACCATATGATTAAAATATATGAATTTTACATCCCCTAGTTTATAGTTAATGTTGAAATGTACTTCCCCAGCAGGTTCTAGTCATTTCTTTTAGCTTGTACCGCCAGATGATGGCAGAATTTGCTAAAATTTGACCAACTATATAGTGTTCATTTTGCTTGCTTCCATGAGTCTTTCAGTATTGTAAAACGTTGCTCCAAAACAGAACTGCCAAATTCTACAGCCTCCCTGTGTTCTAGTTGTATGATTTTGTTGGTCTTATTTTCAGATGCTTTTCCTTTTTCCAACAGGCTTTTGAGGCATAATTTTATTCACTGAAAAGCCAATACACATTTTGTTTCAAAATATTTGAAACAAAAAGCACAGATGCTGAACTTTTATTAAAACAGGTATGAATGTGTAAAGCACATATATTAATGCAGTCATCCCCTCCAGGTGGGAAGAGAGTAAACCAGTGGCTTTATTTTTTTATTCATCCTTAGTATACAAAAATCTACTTTCTAAAATCATATGCCTATTTGAAGCTTTAAGAGAAATGAGTTCAGTAACTATTTCTTTTTTCCAAAGATGCTTGCTATTTTTAATTGTGTGTACCTGATTGTTTTCCCATAGAACTCTTTTTTTTTTTGAAGCAAATGTTTTCTTAAATAATGCATGTTTTAAGACTTGATTCATATATTGCCACTGTGCTGTCCCTGAACTACCAATAATTTTTACAAAATGTCTAGTTTTTAACTACTATTATATATTTTACTTTCCAAATGAAGAGCTGAGCCTGATACAAAAGGTTATTCTGGTTTGTACTTTTTAATTCATTTTCATATTAGAGTTTTTTTTTTTAAACTTTACTATGTCTGATATATATACAGCTTTGGAGACAATCAAGTAACAACTGAAAATGTGAAGGTAACCATTTTTTACAAAATTCCCTTGATTTTTTTATTCTTTGCTTGAAACATGTAGGAAAAAAAAAAGTCACTGTGACTTACTGGGTTAAATTTTTTCCTGTTAATGCAGTTATAAAAATAGAGTCAGACCATGGCACAGGAAATATGGCCCTTAAGGTTTCATAAAATTACACTGACTTCACTGTTACTTGATTTTAGGAACCAGCACAGTTAAAGGTGAGATATTGTGAATGCTGATTTATATTGTATTAAAAGCTGTAAATCTAGAGAGATCCTATTTGTGTATGCAGGGTCTAGCCCAGTTATTTAAGTTCACGTTTCGCTATTTGCACTTTGCATTGAACAATGGGTTTATTTGCTGTTGAAATGGTTCGAGTAGAAGATTTATACAGTAATTGAAATTATGTTATGTACACATTTGCCCTTCTCCCTCCCACCCACAAGAGGGAGCAGAAAATGAGCTTATTTAAATATGAATGTGGCCATAATTCTGTGGAATGTAATAAAGCTTGAACCTCTTTCCCTGGGCTCCACATTGTTACCTGGAGAGCAAGAGGGTTATAGAAAAACACCATGTCAGATAATAGGATTAGAAAGAACAACTAGATTAGGTGGGACAATAAAAGCTTCTCAACCCTCTTAAGAGAAATCAGTGAAGTTCTGTTTATTTAAAAAAGAAAAATTTACCTACTGGCTATGCCTTTTGGTTCTGAACTTGAAATCCCTAAACTGCAATATCTAAGAGTTGGATATTTTTAGGTCAACTGTGGCATCAGTTCTCATATAATCCAACTTGTAACTAGTTTCTTCTTCTCATCTCCTCCTCTTCTTTTTTGGCACTGGGAAAGGTAGAAACAAAACATATATTGAAATACGTATTGGAAATAAAAATGGCTTTGCGTGTCAGTGATATTCTCCCAGAATGTACTTTCCTTACCTCGGCATGTACTGTAGTCACTCAATATTTGTATATGTTGCTAGAATTTGATTGTATAAATAGTGAGATTTTAATGTGTTCGTGTGTTTTTAATAAATTGTATATATGTATCTTGTTCCTTTTTTTTTTTTCCTTAAACCTTGAGGTTTGTAACCATTCTCGTACTATACAAAACACCAGATTCCTCAATTTTAAGGTCAGTCAGAAATGTTATGGCCAGTGTTTATAGTATTTACATTTGAGAACATTTGAAAATGCCACCATTAGTGTTTGACTTTTAACTTTTTCTGTAGACCGCACCATCCTCTCTGAAACCAGACTCAGCATCCAGTCTAGCTGTGGCCCCTGGCTGTGTGGTGTGAGGGGATGATCAGCTCTGCCTTTTCCACCCGAGTTTTCAGAAGGATCAAACGAGACTGGTATGTGGGAACATATGCTGGGGCTAACAGCACAGAGTCCATACCCAGCATGTGGGTCTGAGTCCAATCAACCACTAGTTTTCTCCCCCAACGCCACTTTCAAGTATGTCATTTATTCCTGTTTCTGACCCAATATTTATACACCCTCTTTAGAGAGGCAGGTTGTCAGTGATACCAATTCTTTCTATACATACCTCTTCTGACAGCTTTTGATTCTCGCCAAGTAACTTCTACTGCTGTCTTCACCCACTGTCCCCCTCCGTCCCCATAACCTTTGGTTATAGTCATTAAAAAGGGAGACTGGCTCACCACTTCAGTCCACCTGGCTTGTCTGCATCCCACAAGTCTTTTCTGGCGCACCCTAGGTAAGCTTTCCATTTGAAGATGTGACTGACTCATGTGGACAGCTGGTCTTGTCATCAAAGTGCCACTGAAATCCAGAAACAGCTCGACTCTTAAAGGTTTACTTGTTCTTGTCTTCTTTGTTTCTTGTCTTGTCTTTTTTACTCTACTTCAAATAAGCTTCGAAAACATAATGAAATCACCAGACGTGAAGAATTGCAGTCTTTGGTTATTTACTTATCCAGAGTTTTGTGTTTATCCTGTTTCTTTTGACTTGAAAAAAAAAAAATCTTCATTCTACCAAACTACTGATCATAATCATGGTTTACTTAACTGCAGGAGAAAAATGCTTAATTCAGCCAGTATGATCTTAGATTTCCATAACCAGTCACGCTTCAGGTCTGGTTTAAGATTCCAGTCCGGCTCCTCAGGTGTAACACCTGAAGTGGGTCCAGCACACTACATCAAGGAACTGCCGCACACCAGTTCCCACCAGTTTACACTAGCCAGAGGAACCTCTCAAAATGTCCTGTTACATTCAAAATCTGTCGTAGTAAACTTAAACCCCCTGACTTACTAGGAAGTCACAGCCCTTCAGAAGTCTAAGATGAACTAACTATAGTTAAAAACACCTCAGAAAACTAGCTTATTTTTAAACAATGCAATGAAAAGTTCACTTTCCCTGATATCTTAACGTCTTGGTTTCCATAAATTAAATATATTCACAGAAATTAAGCTGGTGGTTATGAATCACCAGGCAGCAAGAGACTTAATACACATAATTTCTTGACAAGTACATCCAACATATTTAAAAATAAACTAAAAATTGCAGTATAAAAATAAAAATACTGTTAGCATTATCTTCTGAGTCTGTAGGGTTACTGTTGGGTCAAGTCGGTTACAAAGTTTTTTTCTATAATGTCCTTCAGAAAGAGCTGCTCCGCAGTGACATTGTGATATTCATTCTAAAGAAGAAAAACAAAAGTCACCATCTGTCCCAATCTGAAGACACCAACAGCAATGGAATATGCTATATCAAAAAAAAACTCAAGTAACAAGTGACATGGCCTTGAACTTTTTTTACCTAATTGTTTTTTCGTTTCTCATTCTTTTGCCAGAGCCCTCCCTAAAAGCCCACTCTTTCCACTTAAACCGTCAGTTAAGTAAGAGGTTCCCTCACATCACCACCTGGTCTACTGAATTATGGTGTAAATCTAGAAACCAAAATTGACAAGACCTAACCTGAATAATTCCACCTGTTCAGCTTACATAGTATTTAGGGATGAGGATTTAAGGGGACTGGTTTCATTTCATGGGATATAGCCATATACTTAACAATAAATCACCCACTGTTCAATGTTAAAATGTACATGTAATATTTTAACTCCTATCACTGTGCCACTAATCTAAGTTATTAGGAAAATAGGAAATTCGTTCCCATTCACAGTAAAAATTTAAGGATCAAATCTACCATTATTAATCCCCATTCAAGAGAAAAATGATCTGGTATAAAAGTTTATAACTTTTCTAACCATGAAGATTCTTTCATGAGGTTAAAGTTACAGACCTTCCCATCTTAACTGAAAAACTCCATGAAAAGAATTAGTATGATCATGGCCATGCTTTTGGGTGAATCTGTCCTATCTCAAACAACAGGTTTCGAATATCTTTTCAAATACTGCATCAAATACAGCATCTAAGGTAAGGTTTGGTTCCTATGTAGCTCTGATAAGATTCTTCCAAGGGTCTGAGGCCAACAGATTGGGAGCAGGTGCTGTAGTAAGAACTCTGGACCCCACTCCTAATTTCAGCACATGCTATCTCTGTAAACCCTTATTAAGCCATCAACCTCTCAAAACCTGTTCCCTCAGTAAAATGACAGGGTGAAATGGCAGAATATATAAACTTACCTCAGTCATCAAAGACATGGTGGCATTCCCATAGTAGTGCAAAGGACTCTTGAGGTCAGAAAAGTTGTACTTAAAGCCAGCAAGATGAACTTCATGACATATGTGAAATGCCAAGGTAATGGCAATAATGCCTGTGGTTGGGTGTTTGGGTTTCTGGGGGAGGAAATGAAAATTTAGGGAAAAAAGTCCACACAAGGTAGTTGTTTCCAAAGCCTATTTGGGTGATCCATCTTACAGCATCTTCTGAGCATTTCATCAAGACAAAAACTTAAGTTCAACCTTCATCATGCCCCAAGGCTCAAGTGCCAAGTTAATATCCTAATTCTATAAAGTGTTGGCTGTAATCTTAGAAAGTCTTTCAAGTAAAACCTAACTGCAGTACTAGTCCAAAAGACAACTATCAGATGAAGCCTTGAGGAAAAGGATGCTGCCCCCTTGTTTAAAAAACACATCAAGTCTGGCAACTTGTGGAAAAAGCAAAGCCTGAGAATATTAAACCCATGTATGAAATGTAAGAACCGCTTAATTCACTAACAGATAGAATCATGCTCAGTTCAGCTCAGTGTGTCCAACTCTTTGCGACCCCATGAATCACAGCACGCCAGGCCTCCCTGTCCATCACCTAAAAGGCTTCGAATCATTTAGCCAGAAAATAGTTCAGTTTCATAATGCTGATAATTCAGCTCTAGGGAAAGATGGCTTTAATCGAGTAACTTCAATAATAAACTGCCAAGGTGAGGATCTGACTAGAAAATGAAGATTCCAGATGTTTATACATAGTAAAGTCACACTTGGTTTTGTTTTTAAATTGATAAATTTAAATTTTAACAACAAGAAACCAAGCATCCCCTTCACATGTACATATATCCTAAAAAGTCCTATCATAGATGTCTGACTGAAGGGTCTTGGCATTCTAAGCTTTAATTCTCGTAGGATAACCTTCAAAAGCAAAAGCAAAATATATCTTGGTTTTTTTTTAACACAAAAATTCAAGGAGATTTTCTTTTGATTAAATGTTTCCTACAGATCCCATGGAAATTACCTATGATTAATTAGGTAATTAATGGTTTCAAGAAAAATCAGAGCAGCATAATAAAATCAGGTAAACTCCAGGAAGCAGATTTGTCTGAAAGCCTAACCGCCTTCTACCTAAGTTTCTCTTTACCCCTCACACAACTGTGACTGCACCACAGCTTCTCCATCTGCTGCGAAAGGAAGTCAATGGTTGGGTTAAAACCTAGGAGTCATCCCAGCTCACTGATGACATCACATTTCAAGTTCTCTCTTTCCTTTCTTCACACCTCAGAGTTTTCCATTCACCATTATAGGCATTCCCCTATGGAGGCCTTCAATTTCCTTTGGCACCCACCACCCACAGAACCTATATTGTCCCTGACAGAATCTTAACCCTGGTTAAGGTCAGAGAAAACGGCATACTTGACTGGTCACAGATTACATTTGTGATCATCTCAAGTGGGCATTCAGTCACGTCCAACAACCCAGTTCCACTCCCCTAGTAAACTTCCATTTCTACTCTGTAAGATGGCAATCTCATACCTTTCTATCCAACAGCTCTACCTTCCTTCCTACTTTAAACTGTCAGTTTAATCCTCATTTTTCTTAGAAAACAGAATCGCTCAGACAAGAGCTACATCACCTTCCCAATTCCAAATCTCCCTTTGTCTTTACCCGTATTTCCAGTGTTCACTCCTATGTGGATGAGCTGTCCCTGTTTCTCCCGATAGCCAGCCTCTCCACTCATGCACTCCATTGTCCCTGTCTTTTTTCCCAACAATTTTGCTTCTACAAGTATCCCCTTTCTCTCATCATCAGTATTTCCCTCTAGTGAATCATCCCTTCAGCATACAAACACATCTACCTAAAAAGCCATGACAACAAAAAAAACCCTTCCTTGAGCCTGTGTCTTCCAGCCATTCCTCTGCTTTCTCTTCTAGCAAAACTCCATGGAAGATTTGCCTCCATTCACTCATGTCCCACGTTCTTTCTCTCTAACCCAATTCAGTCGGGCTTTCTTCCTCTTTCTATACGTGTCCCTAACAGTGTGACCTCTGTCCAGGACGGCATCTGACACAGTTGACCTCTGAAATACAGCTGTGTCCCTCACTTGGCTTCTAGGACACTGCCCTAGTGGAATTTCAGTGCACTTAAAACTAGTTCTAGTACCGTCTCTAAGTAAGACCAGAGGCTTCCTGTGTACTACCTAAAGCAAAAATCAAGGGATAAATCTGATCTTACCTCACTTAGGAAAGTAAGAGCTGAAAATTCACAAAATATACATTCAGAAGCTGTCCTTTCCCCTCAAAATTAGCAAAACAGGACTTAATAATTATGCTTTTTTGACTTCGCAATTCCACTTCCAGGTGTCTTTCCTACAGAAATCACACAAATGTGCAGAAAATCCCTATAAGCACATGCATTCTACATTACCTATAGAGGAAAAAAAGCTGGCTATAAAACTAAAGGTCTATAAATAGGGGAAGAGTTATTTAGAGAGGAGGAACAGCAGAACAATATAGTATAATCACAAATTACACTCAACAAAAGTGCTTGTGTTTGTAACTGCAGAGACAAAAGTTGATGCAAACAATAAGTGCTGGAGAGGATGTGGAGAAAAGGGAATGTAAATTGGGTGGGAATGTAAATTGATACAGCTACTGTGGAGAAGGAGTATGCAGATTACTTAAAAAACGAAAAACAGAACTACCATATAACCCAGCAATCTCACTCCTGGGTGTATACCTAGAGAAAACCATCATTCAAAAATAATACATGCACCTCAACGTTCATTGAAGCACAATTTAAAATATCCAGGACATGGAAGCAGCCCAGATGTCCACTGACAGAAACGGATCAAGAAGATGTGGTACATACAGACAGTGGAATATTATTCAGCTGTACAAGGGAATGAAATAGTGCCCTTTGCAGACATGGATGGACCTAGAGACTATCATACAGACAAAGTTGAAAGAAAAATATTGCTTGTATGTAGACTCTGGAAAAATGGTACAGATGAACTTATACAGAAATAGAGACACAGATAAACATAGATGCCAAGGAGAGAGGAGAGATGGGATGAATGGAGAGATCGGGATTGACAGGTATACTCTAGTGGCACGATGTATAGCAGAGACAACGAATGAGCAACCTACTGGACAACGCAGGCAACTCTACCCAATGCCCTGTGGGACCTACAGGAGAAGGCGGTCTAAGGAAGGGATGTCGGGACACGTCTAAGTGATTCACTTTGCCGTACAGCAGAAACGAACACAACATCAAAAAGCAACTATACTCCAATAAAATTAAATGGTATTTGTGTTTGTAAATGCACAGACAAGAGTCTAGAAGGATATAAAATGCAAAAGAGCTTGGGAGATGATCTGAATTATATAGAGAAAAAAAGGATGATTTCCTTTTTAAAAAAAAAAATATTCCTTTGTAAAAGCTGTTTAAGCATGTACTATTTCAGAATTTTTTTATTGTGCTCATGAAAAGGTACAAAATACAAGTTTATTTCTTTGGATTTTTCCCAGTTACAAAAACGAAAGCTCCTTTCAGCTGAGATATCACATTACACATTTACTCAAGCTTCAAATGAAAAATACAACCTGTCACTGTATGGATCTAAACTACCTTTTTCCTAGGGAATGTAGACAAACAGGGCTACAAGAGTCAAAGTCAATGAGATTCCTTGTAATTAAAAAGAATTAGAGAATCCTGCTGTCTGCACACAGCCTGCCCGTCACCGCTACACACCCCCTCCCCCTTCCCCATCAATACTCTCCTCCCTGCAGAGCAGTGAAGAGGAGGCGATGAGAGATGGGCCACTTGGACATCTAAAAGGGACCCCAGAAGGGCCCTGCAAGGGCAAGAAAAACACTACACTTAAAAGGTGGTTTTCCTTGCAACCTGAAAAACATGCAGATAAAATCCACAGATAACCTAACCTCACTAACTCAGATGTGGCCCTCAGAAGTCACCTCGCGAGTCATGGTTCTCACCCAGTTTCTAAGACTCCCAGGAACCCCTCTATTCCACCCCAGTAATGTCTTTAGTTTGAAACTGTGTGAAGGAAAATACATACCTCATTTTTGGGAAACACTTTCGGGAAATGAAGCAGTTCATAAGCTGCCATTCTGGTGATGTAAGGATCTAATATTCTGATTTGATAAGGTTTATAGATCAGATTTAAAGCTGGTTGCTTCCAAAAACCATTAGGGTTCTGAAATAAAGAATATAGAAAATACAACTTCTTGTTGTCTTTTTTAAAAATATTTAAAAAACTGAAGGAAATCAGAAAACAGATCGATTTTGCCAACTTACTATTTTGCCACCTGTCAACAATTCCCACAGCCACTTTAAATCAAGAGGCTTAAAAGCAGTGAGAATCACCGTAGTATTAGGGTCATTGTGATCAGGATCTGAAAAAACAGATTCTGGATAAAAAAGTCGGAAGGTAGTCCTTCTTCCAACTTCCTCTTCATGTCCTAAAACAGGACCATTATTCATTCTGTGGGTAGTAAACACACAAGACATGTAGACCAAGAGCAGTCAGGGTCATTTCCATCACAGTTCTCAGAGATTTCAGAGCCAGACAAATGTTGTCAGCCACGTAGCTGGGCTCTAAAGCCATGTGGCAATCCATCAAGTCTTTCACAGCCAAGGAAATAACTCCCCTTCCTGAAACAGCTGCTTGATCAAAGGCAGAAACATCTGTGTTTGAAAATTAACTGTGGGGCCACCAATAGTTCATTCTTACCTCCAGAAAAACTGAAGACAAAATGCAACAAATGGGAACATAAAACCCCAGAATACTCAAAACAGACCTTGGAGGACATCTCGATAAAACCCCGTGTGCTTGTAGATAAGGGCCCTGATGTCCATAAAGATAAAGTTACTTGCCCAAGGTTACACCATCATGGAGCACACGGATGTGTGCCTAAGTGACTAACAGGCAAGAGTCAAGCTGATTTGAAGACCCATCAAAATTGATGTGCTCTGAAGTAAAGAAACAACAAAACTGCTATATTTATACCTAGGCATAACCAAGAGTAACTATTGCTGGGATGAATGAAAGAACCACAAATGATCCAGTGTTGGATTTGCAGATGCTCAAAATAAGCCAAGGTTAGACGTGCAGTATTTATGCACACACCATGAAGGTGTGCTATGAAAAGGAATGCTTTGTTGCCAAAATAGTGTCCCCTAGGAGACAAATACTGTTTGACCCTATGGCACTGTGTAATATAAAGCAGCCTTAATAACACCTGAAATGACTTTCATAATGTCTTGCCAGGGGCATTTTCCCACAAGGGCCCAGTATGGTTCTAGGGAACCAGATTTTACACCATTACAAAGAAATCTGTGAGTGCTTGAACAGTTTTGTGGATAAATCTTCACAGCTTCTTCAACACGGATAACCGCCAGAAAATGCGGTGACCATACTGTGCAGAAACCCTTGGCAACTTGTAACCCAGCAAAACGCCCAAGCACTGCCAAGCCATCCTAATGCATTGCCCAGCAGGAAGTTTCCCCACTCTTCAGAAGACTGTCCACAGCCATTCCCATCACATACACACTTCATGACCCACCACTCAGTCTATGGGACTCTCGGTAGCTGTGACCACAACCCCAACTTTCCCTTCCCCTGCAGAGATAACCACACTGTGCTCCGGGCCCCATGCCCTCTCGTTACCATGCCAATCTCTTTATTCATTTCCATCAGTTTACTAATGTTTTAGAATCTCCTATCTTTATAAAAGGAAACAAAACAGAAAATCTCCTTTAGGAGTCCGGAATTATCTCCAGTGACCATCTTATGTCTCAACTCCACAGTGAAATTTCTCCAAAGAGTGGTTTATACTAGTTTACTAGTTTCTCTGCTTTCTCACCTGTTATTCCCTCAAACCGCTCCATTTGCCCAAGGTTACACCATCATGGAGCCTCCAAGTCTTCTGTCTAGAGTATCAGTGAGTTTCAACTTGCCAGTTCAATGTGAACTCTCCCCATCTTACAGGACCTCCAACCAGCATCTGTCATGGTTGAAACCTCCCTGTCTTACAACACGGTGCTGGCTTGGCATTTATGATCACCTTTTCCTGACTTTCTTCCTACTTCGGCGGCAGATCCTCTCCAACTCCTTTCTCCTTGCACAACCTTTAACTTTTAAGTACTTCAAAGCTCAGTCCTGTTAACCTCTTTAACTGCCTACTTGATTTATATACTATAAATCTAATAAGCATCTCAAACATGGTTATGTTCATACCAAAATCTTGATTCTCCCCTTAACCTGTTCCTACCCTAATCTTCCCTAACTCAATGAATGGTATCCCTATCCAGCCTGTCTATTAAGCTGAAAACCTGGAAGAATCCTGTATTCCTTTATTCCCACCTCTGCTCACATCTAATAAAAAGCAAATCCTGGTAACTGTAACTCTAATACATGCCTCAATCTAGTCCCTATCTCTGTCTCTGCCATGACAATCCTATTGCAAGCCACCATTCTCTACCCAAATGCAGCAACCTGCTGGACTCTTCATTTCCACCCTTGTCCTTCATGTTTCATTGTCCATACCAGCACCAGGGTATTTTAAAGATAAAACCAGGGCTTCCCTGGTGGTCCAGTGGTTAAGAATCTGCCTGCCAATGCAGTGGACACGGGTTTGGTCCCTGCTTCTGGGAAGATCCCACATGCCATGAGGCAACTAAGCCCGTGCGTCCCAACTGCTGAACCTGCACACGTTAGAGCCTGTGCTCCACAACAAGAGAAGCCGTCTCAACGAGAAAGCCGTGCAGCGCAGCTGGAGGGTCGCCCCTGCTCACTGCAGCTAGAGAAAGCCTGCATGTAGCAACAAGGACCCAGGGCAGTCATAAATAAGTTTTATTTTAAAAAAGACATAATCAGAGTTGCATTCTTGTTGAATGATTTTCAAAACTTTTCTGTTATACTTAAAACACGAACCCAAATCCTAGTTGACAAAATCCTACAAAGCCCACTCCTTAACAACATCTTCAGCTGTTGATTGCACCCCTCTCCCCAGTCTGCTGCCCTCCAACCTCACTGGTTTTCTTTTTGCTGCTCTCAAACCCAGCATCATACCTTCCGGAGGACCCTCAGTCAGCATTTTCTCTGCCTGCACTGCTCTTCCCTAGTCTTCATATGGCCAGTACTGTGTGGTCACTTAGGTCCAGTTTAAGATGTCTCTGCCTTAGCATTGCCATCCATTCAAAAACAGCCATTCATTCATTCTTGATGATTTAATTATTTTGATTGTTTACCTGACATCTATTGTATTTCTTTTCTTAATTACTGTTTTCTTCTTCCCATTAAAATGTAAGCTCCACAGGGAGAAAGAACATTATTCTTATTCACTGCAATAGCCCCTGGGGCTAGAACTGTGCCCAGAATGTTTAGGGTATTTCATAAATATTTGCTAAATGAATGACCTGAAATGTAAGTCTACTCCAGCCAACAACTTGAGTAATACGTAACGTACTTAAACATACTAAAGCAACTCCACTTCCTTTTAAAAATGGTCATACTAAAGCAGGAAACTATGTTCTTTTAAAAGAACTATGTTCTTTTAAAAGAGTTCCATGTTAGCAAATAGAAAACATATTTACCTTATTATTATATCATATGAGTCAATTTTTTCTCCTAATGTCTTATTCTTCAAAATTCCTCCATTACCAACCACCACACACTTCTTACACGGCACACTGTTGAACAAATAGACAAGTGAGAGATTGAGACATCTTTTACAAAACTGGCTGATTCCAACAACCTGTTCATACTTTGAGGAACCCAGAAAAAAGAATCAATTGTAACTCACAGGTCTAGGGATATGGTAAGACTCAAGAAATCATGTTCCATAGGAACTATATCATTGTTAGCAACTATTAATGCTTATCAGTTCATATACATCCCCTCATTATGCTTCTCCTAACCACCCATGGAGATAAGTAAGCCTGATATTTCGATTTTACAGAAGAAAAGATATTAAAAAATGTTATGTAACATTTCAAAGTCATACTGCAAAGAGGTAGAACTAGGATTGAGTCCAGACATCTGGACTACAAAGATACCCCTCAACATAACATTCTCCATGTTAATATTGATACAAGTGGGTTCTATACTAGATGTGTATGTATTTTCCATCAGTGTTAGCCATTCCCCTGAGATTCCAGCTCTGAATTATGGCTATGTATTGTAAGTGTCAAGACAGACAGTATAGAACCTGGTGGGCAAAGTGTGGCTTCTTTGTACCTGCCCATGCGCACTTCAATTCCCCAAACAGGTACTAGTCCTTAAAGTTTAGCCAGTATACAAATGAAAAGTTTACTCTGTATTCCTGCCAAAGAGCTTTAAAGTAGGACATGAAGTGGAACTTCCTGTTGCTGGCCGGAATCAGCCTCAACCAGCGGATTATCTATTGTTCAGCTCTCAGCCAACAGGACCTGGCCTTCAACATAATAAAGGCCATATATGACAAACCCACAGCAAATGTCATTCTCAATGGTAGAAAGGAAAAACTGAAAACACTTCCTCTAGGATCAGGAACAAGACAAGGATGTCCACACAAAGCTATTTAATATAGCTTTGGAAGTCCTAGCCACAGAAATCAGAGAAGAAAAAGAAATAAAAGGAGTGTAAATTGAAAAAGAAGTAAAACTTTCACTGCTTACAGATAACATGACACTATACGTAGAAAATCCTAAAGATCTACCAAAAAACTACTAGAGCTCATTAATGAATTTGATCAAGTTGAAAGATACAAGATTAACATGCAGAAAATCTCTTGCATTTCTACACACTAACAATGAAAGATCAGAAAAGAGACATTAAAGGAAAAAAATCCCATTTACCATTACATCAAAAAGAATAAATTACCTAGGAATAAACCTACCTAAGGAAATAAAGACCTGTACCCAGAAAACTACAAGATTCCGATAAAGGAAACCAAAGATGACACACACAGATGGATATGCCATGTTCTTGGATTGGAAGAATCAATACTGTGAAAATGCCTATACTACCCAAAGTAATCTACAGATTCAGTGCAGTCCCTATCAAATTGCCAATAGCATTTTTCACAGAATTATGACAAAAATTTTTTACAATTTGTATGGAAACATAAAAGACCTTGAATAGCTAAAGCCATCTTTTTAAAAAATATATTTATTTTAATTGGAGGGTAATTACAATATTTTGATGGTTGTTGCCATACATCAACATAAATCAGCCATGCATATACATGTGGCCTCCATCATGAGCTCCCCTCCCCTCTCCCTCCCCAGCCCGTCCCACTGGGCTGTCCCAGAGCATGGCTTTGGGTGCCCTGCCTTATGCATCAAACCTGCACTGGTCATGCATTTTACATATGTTAATATGCATGTTTCAACGCTATTCTCTCAGGTCATCCCACTCTCACCTTCTCCCACAGAATCCAGAAGTCTGTTCTTTACATCCGTGTCTCTTTTGCTGCCTTGCATGTTGGATCAGCATTATTGTCTTTCTAAATTCCATATATATGCATTAATATACAGTATTTGTTTTTCTTTTTCTGACTTACTTCACTCTGTATAGGCTCCAGTTTCATCCACCTCATTAGAACTGACTCAAATGTATTCCTTCTTACAGCTGAGTAATACTCCGTTGTGTATATGCACCACAACTTCCTTATCCACTCATCTGCCAATGGACATCTAGGTTGCTTCCATGTACCAGCTATAGTAAACAGTACTGCAGTGAACACTGGAGTACATGTGTCTCTTTCAATTCTGGTTTCCTCGGGGTATACGTCCAGGGGTGGGATTGCTGGGTCATATGGCAGTTCTATTCTCAGCTTTTTAAGGAATCTCCACACTGTTCTCCATAGTGGCTGAACCAGTTTGCATTCCCAGCAACAGTGTAAGAATGTTCCCTTTTCTCCACATCCTCTCCAGCATTTATTGATTGTAGACTTTTTGATGACAGCCATTCTGACCAGCATGAAAACTGTGGTTCTGATTTGCATTTCTCTAATAATGAGTGATGTTGAGCATCTTTTCATGTGCTTTTCATGTGGAGGTTGATTCCTCCAGTTTCATTCTTTTTTCTCAAGATAGCCAAAGCAATATTGAGAAAGAAAAATAAGAGCTGCAGAAATCAGGCTCCCTGACTTCAGATTATACTAAAAAGCTACAGTAACCAAAAAACCAAAACAGTATGGTATTGGCACAAAAACAGAAATATAGGCCAATGAAACAGTATAGAAGGTCCAGAGATAAACCCACGCACCTATAGTCAGCTAATCTATCACAAAGAAGAAATAAGTGGTATAGAGAAAACAGGACAGCTACATGTAAGATAATAAAATTAGAACATTTCCTAACACCATACATAAAAATAAACTCAAAATGGATTAAAGACCTAATTGTAAGACCCAGTACTATAAAATTTTTAGAGGAAAACATAGGCAAATCATTCATTGACATAAATCACAGTAATATGTTTTTTGATCCACCTCCTAAAGTAATGAAAACAAAAACAAACAAATGGGACCTAATTAAAATTTAAAGTTTTTGCACAGCAAATAAACCATGAAGAAAACAAAAAGAAGGATTAACCTCCAAAATATACAAACAGTTCATGCAACCCAATATCAAAAAACAAACAAACAAAAAACCAATCAAACAATGGGCAAAAGACTTAAACAGACATTTCTCCAAAGAGGACATACAGATAGCAAACAGTCACATGAGATACTAAACATCACTAATTATTAGAGAAAGGATGGGAGCAACAATGAGGAATCACCTCACACCAGCCACAATGGCCATCATCAAAATATCTACAAACAACAAATGCTGGAGAGCATATGGACAAAAGGGAACCCTCTTACTCTGTTGGTGGGAATGTAAATTGGTACATGCTATGGAGAACAGTATGGCGGTCTCTTAAAAAACTAAAAATAGAGCTACTGTCATGATTCAGCAACCCCACTCTTGGGCATATATCTGGAGAAAACCATAGTTTGAAAAGATACATGCAGCCCAATGTTCAGTGCAGCACCATTTACAAGAGCCAGGATATGGAAGCAACTTAAACGTCCATCGACAGCGAAATGGATGAAGACAATATGGTGCATATATACAATGGAATTTTAGCTAACCAAAAAAAATAATAATTCCATTTGTGGCAACAGGGAGGGACCTAGAAATTGTCTCTGAGTGAAGTAAGTCCCTGTAAGACAAATATCAGATGACAGCACTCATATATGAAAGCTAAAGAAATGGTACAAATGAACCTATTTGCAAAACAGAAATAGAGCCACAGATGTAGAAAACAAACTATGGACAGAAGAGGGAAGCAATACTGGGAGCAAGAGAGTCAGACATGACTTAGAGACTGACCACCACCATGTATAACCACTAGGGGCGTCCCGCACAGCACAGGGAACTCAACACTCTGCTAAGAACAGAGGATATCTGGTGAACGGATTCAACTCACAACATGCTCCATCAACTACACTCCAGCAAAAAACTAATTAAAAACAAACCGACAAAAACAAAACACGGCCTGGCCCAATCCAGCTCCAAGCGCTCACCACCACGCAGCTAGGCCTACAGAAATAACAAAAGATAACTTCCTTCTTCTCCCAGGGGCAAAGCTACAGAGGGTAAGGCTGTTGAGATTGTCCTTGCAGGGCCCTCATGACGTGGAAATAGGAGGAAAAAACTGTTTCTCCAAGAACCATGAGATCAGCAGACCAGATGAACTCCAGATCCTAAGGGCTTTAGGAAACTAATGAGTAGCAAAATTGCACAGAATTCTTAAGCACAGAGAACACAGCACTACACGATCCACTGAAAGGCGCCAGGCATTGGCCCTGTTGGGTTAAGAAGAGACAAGATAACCATTCCTATACATGTGAATGTACCTTTTTAGTTCATCTATTTATATTTGATGGTTTTACACCTTAAACTTTCTAGAGATGTTTCTCTTCTAAATCTGCTTGCCTTTAACTACGGAAGTAACACTTCTAGTTGCTCTAATATGCAAGTTTGACATAAACCCCAATCCCAGGAAACCACTCTGTCCACTGCACTCTGCAGCCAGGTGGCCTGGGAGAAGACGGGATTGCTCACTGGTCAACCCTGTCCTCTCTGGGTCTGTGACCCTGATCATCCTCCCCGGCAGATCTAGCTCGTGAGGGCTCCATGGCAGGGAGCAGCTCCTACACTCACAGCCTGCATGGCTTTCCCTTCCATAACCTCAGGGCCAGTAATGCAAGTGAGATGCTGAAACTCGACACACTGGCTTCACCTCCCCATCAGAACCCTAAGCAAGGCTGGGCAGCGGGGAGGGAGTGGCTAGAAACAGACAGGATGGGAAAAACAACTCCGTTCCTACGAGGTCACCTGTGTAGAGGTGAAGGAGGAATATCTATCATTTATGGCATCTAGACTAACCCTCTTCAAAAAAGGCTGCAGGCCACTCCCTTCCCCAGTCATTTCTTCTACCCAATCTTCTCAGCCTCTTCCCACTTGGGAAAAATGGAAAGAAATCATGGACACTGCCTCACTCAAGAGAACTCCAGTTCCAAAGACGCTTTATACTGCCAAGGTCACACATTTTAGAAATCTCACTGTTTTCTTCTCTGTTGGCTTTGCAGAGGGCAGGTGAAATGGGGAAGGTCCTTCACCATGGGAAAAGTTTACTGATGTCTTTAAAAGCA